GCAAACATGGCCTCTGACTCAGGAGAGGCAGTCACTGTTGAGAGTTAACCTATGATCACACTTGGATATCTAAATTGCCAAGGAAGCTTCATCAGCTGCTGCAGGAGTGGGCAATGTGGCCCACCAAGTTCATGACCAGCCACCAGTGAGAAGAGACAAGGCTGAGACCCAGAGACAACCCAGAGGCCTCCAGGGGGCAGAAGGAACAGGGTTTGGGCAGAGAGAACAATGGCATGGAGGTCTAGGAGCAATGAGGCCTTTTCCAGTCACGAGGGCCCTTTTAGAATTCATTTCTGCTTAATAGCACTTAATAAACATTTTTGAGCAACAGGATATGTTAGGTCAAATGGGGGAGATAAAGAGAATTGACACAGAACCTTTGCCCTTGAAGAGCTCACAGCTGAGTTGGAGAAAGATACCTAGAGTGCAGTTTACTAACATCTATACCACCAACCCCCACAGCAACGCAGCTTCCCAGCATTGAGACCTTGCTATGCTCCAGGCACTCCATGCATCATCTCATATGCACTTTGCAACAGTTCATCATGAAGAGAAGGCACTGCAGAGCCAATGGGTTAAGCAAGCTATCGAAGGTAGTCAGCGATTTTGTCTGACTACAAGGTCTGTGCATGACAGGACTGTACCACTGCAAGACATGATTCTACTGTTGTTATGGGGCCCAGAACAGGCAATAATAACATGAACCACTCCTTGAAGAAAGAAGCCAAGCATTGCGAGGCAGGCCATGCAGGCAGGGGAACAGCATGAGCAAAAGCCCAGAAGTGGGAATGAATTTAACTGCCCCAGCACCAGGCCAAGACAGCTGGAGACAATTCAGGCAGAGAGGAGAGCCCGGAGCTGCTCAGCTGCTCTCTATCTTTCTCCTTCCCTCCGCAACCTTGAGAAAGTAGTTGATGGGTTCTATTTGCATTTTCTCCTTTCCAGTTTCTCCTGCCCACATCACCCGCTGCAGACACTCTTGCCAAGTTCCTCAGTGCCAGCGTTGCCAGCCTGGTGGCCACTCCTCAGGCCTTCTCTCGCCTCCTCAGCAGCCTGGCCATGTGCCTGCCCTCCTCCCTTCTGAAAGAGTACCCTTGCTCTGTCAACATCTCCTCCCCTGGTTTACTTTCCTCCACTCTGGCTCCATCCCTTGTGCCACCTTGATATTGCTGTGGCCCATCCTGGACCTATTTCTCATCAACACAGCCTCTCCAGGAGACTCATCCCTTCTTGAGGCTTAACCATCACCTCCACGTGGGATTTCCAAGCCCCTATCAATAGCCCAGTGTCCACCCTGAGTGCTGGACCCACATACCCATCTGCCTCCTGAAGATCCTTACCTGGGTGTAGTCTGGGAAATTTGAATTCAGAATGCGACCAGGATACTCACTGGCTTCCTTCAATAGTGGCTGCTCCTTCTGGGCCCCCTCTGTCAGGAGTGGGCATCACCAATGCTAGTTGCCCAAGCCAGATCCTGGGAGTCATCACTAACATCTCTCCTCTCACTGATATGTGGGTGCCACCTCCCTCTGACATTTCTTAAGCTTTTCTCTCCTTCTTACCACCATCCCACTGCTGCCATGCAGGCTTTTATCATAGCTCCTGGGGTTCCTTCCACAGACTGCCCAATTCCACTCTGGCTGCCAGTAGAGGTCCATGTGAAATGCAAATTAGCCCAGGTCACCATTGGTCAGAAGCCTTTAACAGCTCCCCATTGTGCTGGGGAGACAGCCTAAACTCTCAGCCTCTTTGCTTCATACCCACATACCCACTGCGCTTGGTCTTGAGCTCCAGCCAGACTGAAACCATGGAGTAGGTTTATCCTCTTTACCCTAATGCTTTCAATCCTACTAGTTCTTAGGGCTCAGCTTGACAGTCACCTCCTCCCAGAAGTCTTCCTGCTGTCCAAGGTGAATTAGGGCCCCACCTCCATGCTCCCATAGCAGCTGTGCACAATAGCTTTCTTCCTACATCAAAGCCATACTTTCTCTTCTTGTTTCCCACCCTGAGACCATAGAGTCTTTGAGGTCAGGAGATGTTCTTGTGGTTTAGCTTTTATTATTATTATTATTGTTTTATTTTTATTTATCTATCTATTTATTTATTTATTGAGACAGAGTCTCGCTCTGTAGCCCAGGCTGGAGTGCAGTGGCACGACCTTGGCTCACTACAGCCCCTGCCTACCAGGTTCAAGCGATTCTCCTGCTTCAGCCTCCCAAGCAGCTGGGACTACAGACACCTGCCACCTCACCTGGCTAATCTTGTATTTTTAGTAGAGACGGGGTTTCACCATGTTGGCCAGGCTGGTCTCAAACTCCTGACCTCAAGTTATCTGCCCGCCTTGGACTCCTCAAGTGCTGGGATTAGAGGTATGAGCCACCGTGCCCAGCCTGATTTTGTATTTTTTCAGTGCTAGGAAATATTTACCGAAATTTAAGGACAGAAAGTCTGGGAGGCATACTCCGGGAGTGCTCTTGAAAGCAAATGGGTTACTCCATGTGCAGGTGTTGAAAATGTAAAACACACTATTATTTTTTCCCTAATAAAACCCCAATTTTGTTCACAGGACAGCAATAGTGTTAACTATACTTCTTAGCATCCTTTGCAGGGGGTAGCTATGTGACCCAGGTTTGGCCAAGAAGACTTAAGGAAAAGCAGCTGTGCATGCAAGGGAGAGATTTGCTCTCTTGATGTAAGCATGGCCCCTTCCTGTTTCCTGTCTTCCACGTCTTTCCTGGAATTAGGAGAGGAGGCTGGAGATGGAGCAGCTATCTTGTGACAATGAGCCAGCCATGGGGATGGGAACCACAGGCTAAGGAATCTTGAAGGGCCTAGGTTATGACCCCTGGACTACCTACTAGCAGACTTCTTATTATGAGAGACAAATAAATCTCATTTAAGTCATTTTGGTTGGCTCTCCATTACATTTAGCTGAACTCCACCCAGTAAAGGTCAATGAAGGAAGATAAGCATCTGTGAGCATTTCTGAATAGGCTTTTCCTTTGGAGATGATGCTGGCGCTGACGGGAGGCAGAGGGCCAGATTAACAGAACGGGACTAGGTGAGGGCTGGAGAGGCTGATCCTCCAGGGGTTCTACCAGAGGATCATAGTGAGGTCTCAGGGTTTGAGAAAGAAGCTCCAGCCATGGTAGCCCTAAGGTGCCTGTGACCTTGGCCTGGGGGTTTTCTGGTCCCTGTTTAGTTCATCTTGCAAAATGGGGCTGCTGGACTAGACAACTGATCAGAAAACATAATGCTTCAAGTCTGGGCTTTAGAGTCAGACAAGGCTGAATTCAGGGTCCAGCTCCACCACTTGCTAGCTGTGGCTTTCAGACAGCTTTCTTATTGGACTGCTCTAGCATCCTTGTCTGTGGAGTCCAGACTCTAATAGTACCTATGCCTGTAGGGCTAACGTTGGGGCTTCATGAAATCCTGCATGTGGGTGCTCAGCAGAGGGCCTGGTATGCCCAGCACACACCAAGTGCTCCATGCTGGTATCTGTCCTTGCGTGCCGTGTTCTCCCAGTGGACAGATGGGAGCTGGAATTAATGCCTGCCCTGAGGCTGGGGCTGCTACAGAGCTGTGGGAAGCCTGTCTGGATGTACCTTGCTCTATGGCTGAGTGAAGTGGCCAGGGGCTGCCCACTGTTCAACAGCTCTGGAATGCTGCCATGTCCAGGGACCTTGGGTCGCAGGTGCACAGAAGCCCCCAGACCCAGGCCAGGCCAGACCAGGCCCAGAAAGGTATCAGATCTTGGGTAGAAATAAGAAGCCTATGTGGTCCATCTGTCCTGTGGCCTTTGTCTTAGCCAAAGCCTCCTGGATATTGACGGCATCTTTTCCTGGGTTTGGGGTGGGGTTGGAGAGGTTCCCTCTGTACGGGACTACAGGAATGAGGGAGCTGGAAAAATGCCTCCAGAGCTGGATTCCTCACTGCAGCTGCTTTTGGAAGAACCTTGTTATCCTTCCCTTGAGAAGCCTCACTGTCTCTTCTCCGCGCTTGGAATCCTGGTGGTAAAAAATCTTGGGGAAAAAATAAACCCACTATTCATGCCAGCACTGAGAAGGAGGTCAGTGGCGTGAGTCTCGTTTGTCCACACCCTCCCACCCCCTCTACCCCTCCCCCCAGCACCCCAGGCCAGACCCAGCCATGCCGACACTTGACAGCCCCTGCAGTTTACCTTGGCTCAGGTCCAGAGACTTCGGGCCCAGCCCCCACCTTTTCACCTTGTTACCCAGCCCCCTCTCCAGCGCAAAGAGCAGTTTAAATATAAATCAGTCCTCAACACAAACAGAGCTGCAGCGAGTCTCAGAGCCATCACCGGAACTGAGGGCCCAGGTTTTCTGCGAGTGCAAACAAGCAGAGACTGGCTCCGTAAATCTCCCCAAGAGCGTCGGGAGGGGTGCCGGGGCTCCCCTCCACCCCCTGGATCCCGTTGGCCCCTCCAGCGCCCGCCTCGGGCCTCCTCATACCCTAGCCTTCCTGCCCCCCAGCCCTGCCAACCTCTTTCTCCATCCCCTCCAGTCACCCACCTTCGCTTCACCCACCCTCTCTTCGCCAGTCCCCAGGAGCCTCCACCCCCTTGCAGCCTCCTGCCCCCGCACAGCCCTCACCTCCCCTCCCCGGGCCCGCCACCTCCTTCCCTCCCTCTCCGCCTCCCCGCAGGCGGGATCTTCTCCGGGGCAGTCAAGCCTAGCGGGTCGCTGCGGCGTCACACCTGTCTGAGGGGGCGGTGGCGGCGGAGGGGCGGGGGCTCGCAGCGCCTTTGACACCCGAGTAAAAGAGGGAGGAGGGTTTCAGACAGCTTTCTTATTGGAGCGGGTTTCATCATCGGCGGCTGCCACTTATAAAAACTTCTGGGCGCGCACTCCCTGGCTCAGTCTCGGCTCCGCGAATCTCCTCCGGCCGCCGCCGCCGCGCTCGCCTCTCACCCGCCCAGCCGCTCCAGCCCGAGGCGCCCCGGCCCCCGCGCGCCAGGTCCCTAGCCCCGGGGCCCGTTGCCCCCGCGCTGCTCCGCGCCCGGCCAACCGCCCTCAGCCATGGGGCTCCTGCCCAAGCTCGGCGCGCCCCAGGGCAGCGACGCCTCTTCCAGCCGAGCCGGCCGCTGTGCCCGCTCGGTCTTCGGCAACATTAAGGTGAGCGGAGTACGCGGGGTCGTCCGGGCCGGGGCCGCGCCGGGCGCACCTTCGTCTGGGCACCCGTGTCTGTCTGCCGGAGCCAGGAGGCGCTGCGAAGCCCCGAGCTCCCTCCCGTGCTGCGCTCGGATCTCATCCCCGGGCGACGCGTGCTGGGCGTGTGTGTGCGAGTGTTTGTGTCTGTGCGCACGCTTGTGTGTGTGTGTGTGTGTTCACACGCCTTTATCGGAGTAAGTAATGGGACAATGGAAGTACCTGCTTACTGCTTACTGGGACAACTTCAGGCAGAGTTTTAAGCGAGAGAATTGTCCTGCTCGGTGATTGAAAAAGATTATCTCGAGGAACCCTTTTTCGGCCTCCAGCGGGCGGTTACTTCGTCAGTGGGATGGGCTTGGAGGTGCCAGGGGGCCACCCGCGCGTTGAGGGACAGACTGTGTCTCGTCCGAGCCCCCTCGTCCTGGGGTGGGTGGCCTAAGGGATGTTCTCCTTCCCCAGGCTTTCTTCTCCCGCCAACGGAGGTGGCGGGCTCTGCTACCTGGCTGTGCTGCTCGCGGTTATGTTGAGAATTCTCTCTCAGCGGGCAGCTTCCCCCAGGCTGGCAACAAACCCGCGTGCTCGGATTGGCTTCCCTGATCTGGAAATGACCCCAGGAAGGCCACGGCTCTCACGGTTCAGTAAGGTCTAAGCAGGTGCCACTCACCAGGCAAGATATGCGGAGCGGGTGAGAAGATAGGGTGTTGGCAGCTCTTAGGATGAGAGCACCTTTCCCAGGGGTCGGAAATGGCTTTCCACTCCCTCACAGGTCCAGGAGGACCTGGAATGGTTCAATCCACACTCGGGCTGTTTTGCCCATGCTGGCTAGGCAGAAGTAACAATGGAAGATACCTCCTGAGAGGGCAGAGCTGCTGCCGTGAGGGTGTGGGAGACTGCAGAGACTGCATCAAGGCCTCTTCTGGTCAGGGTGGGATTCTGGTGTAGAGAGGCTGTTTCCCACAACCATACAGTCAGATGGGACTGGATAAAGCCTCCAGTGGTGCAATTAAGGGGAAGCCAGATTACACAAAGGGATGATGGTGTCATCCTTTTGTGGAAGGGGTATCGGTGCACTGGTTATATGTGTCCAACAGAAAGGGATCTGGAGGTCAGAGTGGATCTCACCTGCATACTTACTCAGCTGGGATCTCCACTCCTGCTTCTGCTCTTTCTGCACCACAATAAATACAGGCTGAATTGAGTTTGTAGTTGGATATGGATAAGCAACAGAAATTTTGAGATAGTTTAAAATAATCTCCAAATCTCCTCGTTTTTGGCCAGAGCTGGATGGAAATGTTGTGTGCAGTTTTGGTTCCACCATTTTGGAGAAGTTTCATCAGGGAATTTTGGAACCTTTGGTATTTATAAATTAGGAATTGAGAGGAAAGGGTGGGGACTAGGATTAGATAGTCTAAAGAAAGGGGCCTCTACAGGAACTAGGGTGGAGCAACCTCCCTTCATTTTCACCAAGAAGGGCAGGAGGGATGGGTATCCAGGACAGATTCCTGACAGTGAGGGAAAGGCTGAATGAGATTGATCCATTTAGAACCCATCCTGGTTCCCTAAAATAACTGTTTATGCCAGCAATTTCTTTGGAGATCTATATAAATAAGATGATTTCTCATGTGTCGATGATTTATCCACATGTACCTGAGGGCTGGGCTCAGGCCAATTGGCCTCCTAAAGGAGTTAAGTGCTCATGCCAGTTAAGAGTTTTTCTTGACTCTAAAAATGAGATTCTGTTAGTCATCACCTCCTTTGATCCACAGTAATTGTAAGACCAGAGTTTGGAGCGACTTCCACTTAACTCCACTCATCAGTCTGAAACCAGATACAAGGTTGGATAGCTTACGGTGTCCAAGATAAATCTTGAATCTCAAATTCCACCAGTTAAAGTCACTTGCGCCTTTCCCTCCTGGGGCAATAACTGGAAGCTCTGCTATTTGAAGGAATATTTCCTCTCAGTGAGAGTGCTTGTCATAGCCCTGCTACCTCGCAGTGGGGGATGGGTTGCACATATCTTGGGACATGTATGACATAGTGGGAACAGGGGACACTCGACCAGAGGGTCTGTCATTTGTCTAGATTCCTTGTTGCTGGACAGACTAACCAATCGACTTTGGACATTCCTGCAAATACCCACAAACCATATAGTTTAGGGGAAGTGGATAAAGCCAGAAGACTCAGATCCAAGGTCCCATCCCAGCCACCTACTAATGGGATGATGCAGGGAAGCATTTCTTACCTTTCCAGGGCCTCAGGGTCCTTACCTGAAAAAGCTGGTAATTGACCAATAACCAGCTCATGGGACTCAATGAGGATTATGTGCAATGAGGCATAGGAAAAGGGCGTTGTAAACCATGCTGTGCTCTCAGGATCAGTACCCATCTGAGATCAATTCTTGCTTCAACAAATAGGATTTGTTCATGTTCAAACATTTAGGAATGATTGTTCCACCAATTCCATGAGACATAGTTAAGAAAAACTACATTTAATAATAATAATGATGATTAAAATAATAGTAATAGTGGCTAACAGTATTTGAGCTGTATGAGTGTACCAGGAACTATGGAAATACTTTATCTGTATTTAATCCTCATTACAACCCTATTGACTGGATACTATTATTGTCCTCATTAGTAATGAGAAAAACAAGGCATTGTGAAATTGTTCTCATAACCAGAAAGGGGTGGACTATAGAGGAACCAGGTATGTGAGACTTCAGAGTCAAAGACCCAAACCCATGTTCAAGTTGGCCCTCACCATCAACACTATGCTAGTTAACACTGGTTTAGCAGGGGTGTGCTTATTCCCAGTGGCCAGTGATTTCTCTGGGCCCTGGTGACACACACATCCCAGCTGTGACCAAGGGGAGCAGCAGTGGCTGCAGGATGGATGCTCTCAATGGCTAACAGGCTGATACGCTTTCCCTCTTCATAACTGTCATCTCCAGAATGTGGCAGCTCTCAGGTGGGTTTTATGTGTCTCCTCTCCTGCGGTAGTAAACCAGATTTAATTTACAGTCTCTGTTGCCTCTGGCTTACAGGATTTTTTTTTGTTTTTGTTTTTGTTTTGTTTTTTGAGATTGAGTCTCGGTCTGTTGCCCAGGGGGAGTACACTGGCGCCATCTTGGCTCACTGCAACCTCTGTCTCTCAGGTTCCAGCAATTCTCCCACCTCAGCCTCCTGAGTAGCTGGGATTATAGGCGCCCACCACCACATCTGGCTAATTTTTGTATTTTTTTTTTTTTTAGTAGAGACGGGGTTTTGCCATTTTGGCCAGGCTGGTCTTGAACTCCTGACCTAAGGTAATCCACCCTCCTTGGCCTCCCAAAGTGCTGGGATTACAGGAGTGAGCCACTGCGCCCAGTCAGGAATCTTAAGAAGCAAAGATCTGCTCCACAATCACTGTTCAGCATTCAGTGTCCGGAATGCTAAATTAAAAACAGGTTCATTTAGTAATCCTGAGGGTGGGGATGGGAGGCAGCTTTTGCAGCTGACTTATCCTGGCGGCTTCAGGAAACTCTGTTTCTCCTTAAAATAAAACTTGCCCTCGGGACCAAACTGAGGTTATCTTATAGAAGGAGTGGTTGGTGACTGCTACCAAATTTCAGGAAATCACACACCCAGAGCTCCAGTGTAGTGAAGTAATGTATATCCAATCAGTGAGGGAATATCCCAGTGGAGACTGAGGGCTGGAGAATAGTGGGAAGAAGGGAAAGGCAAACCTCACAGCTTGGCTTCAGTGGCCCTGGTGACTTCTGGCCTGGGAGGACCAAGAAGTGGAGGAGAATTACTTTGTCTTGGCCTATGTCCATCCCTTCCTGAGGCTTCTGACCCCCAGCGATGGGGAGGCATCTTGGGCTTGCTTAACTAATCAGTTTCCAGAGCAAAGTGCTCTATCCCAGCAACCAGATTCATGCTCAGGAAAACACTCTCAAGAGAATCCCCTGAACCCAAGAATTCCTTCCAGCGTGCTAAGATAGGCCCACTCCTCCCCGGGGGTGGTGTTTCTCTAACGTTGAGGACAGCATTGTTCTGTTCCTAGGCATCTGCCTCCTGAGAGGCCTGCTTCCCCTGCTTGTAGGGAGAAAGGAAGAACAACTGGAATGGGTAGTCAGGTGGACCATGGGTCACTCAAACCTCCTCTTCCTGGATGATGCTCAAAGCCCTCCTTAGCTTTCAGTTTGTCTTCTGGTGGTACTTACACGGAACAAGTGGAACAGTGTTGTATGTTTCGCAATATACATAGCTGATTTCACCTCTTTCTGATCATTGTCTTTTGTTGTGACGGTGACTACCTGTTTTTTCCATTCTGAGAGATCCAGAAGTGATGTTGGAACATTGAGAGGGGCACATGGCTTCCCTTTGCCTTCTTTTGTCTTGCTTGTGTAATAGACCAGGGTGTATGCAGAGGAATGGAGGGAGTCCCCTGGCCTTGCCCCTCTTCATTCTCCCTCTTCTCAACCCCCACTTAGTTTTATCCTGCCCCATGTCTTTAACCAGCCCCAGCACTCACTTCAATCCCCTTTCTGCCTGTGGTGGCGCTGGCCTTCAGACCATTTATGGGCCAGAGCCTGAGAGCCAGTCATGGTGGAACTAAGCAGCCAGGGATGCTCCCAGGCAAATGAGCCCATCAGGAAGCCTGCACAGAGCCAGGCTAGTTTGGGCCCTATTCTGAAGTTAGGTTCACTAACATGTGCTTGGCCATCCCATTCTGTTTCTGTTGAGGAAGGACAACTGTGTGAATCTGCACCTGTCTGTATCCCAGAGGATCAACACAGATGGTTGTCACTGCAGAACCTGGGGCCTCATGAGCCACCATAGAGAAAGTCAGCTGAGTTCCTAGTGCCAAACAAAATGATTGATTTAGAATTTTTTTTAAAACTTTTTATTTTATAATAATTATAGATTCATAGGAAAAATAGTACTTAGAGGTCCTGTGTAGGCTTTACCTAGTTTCTGCTA